TAGCTGATAAAACATATAATTACTTCAGCACTGACTCATATGATCCTAACATATCATGTGTAAATTTTTTAGTACCACCAATTGGGTTTGAGACCTAATGATCCTAAAATCGTTACTATGGAATATCTCCCCGAATTAGCTTTCTAACGCAACTAGTATTTCCTAAATCGAAACTTCCAAACTCAATTAATCACAAAAATAAGAACTTAGACACAATCTACCTTCATGATTCGAATCAAGAGGTCTTTTGACTTGAACAAAGCAACCAAAATGTCCAAAAACCTTCAAAATACTTGTGATTTGACTCGTAGTTGGCATGATTACAATCAAGCCCTTCATGATTCAAACCATTATTGTTATGACCCAAATCAGAGTCATAAAATTATGAATTTTTCCCTTGATTCGAATCAAGCAACCAGAATCCATATTTTTCACAGCAATTCAACATACAAGCTTTAAAGATCAGATATATTCATCATAAAACATTATGGTACCAACTAAACATAATCACAATCATCATATCTCATATTCATAATAGAAAACATGGTATCACAACAAACAATCTCATATTTTCATGTAATTAAGAGCAACCATGCCTAAATCTACCAAAAACCCATGATGAATTCCATACTAGGTTTTCTCTACCCAAGATCGAAGCCTAAATGACCTAACCTCAAAGTGAAGTTCTGAATTGATGAAACTGGAGGTTGAAGAAAGTCTTTCATTCTTTCTGCTAAGCAAAATGATATTCAGTCCTTTACATGCAAGACATGTTCCATTCCTTTACATCCAAGTTTTAATCAACGTCTCTTTCTTATCCTCTCTTCTGAAATGCCAATAGCTCCTCTCTCTCTCTCTCCCACTCTCTCTTAATTTGTAAAAAAATGGACAAGGAACGAACGAGGATAAGTTCTCATGTTTTGGTGTTTATTTTTCACTTATGGAAAGACTTATTTCCCTAAAGTTCTACTAAATTCCAAACTTGTCCTCAAGGTTTTCTAACTTAGGAAATCAAGTAATAATAAAAATAGTCATACCATCTCATATTGTTTCATGGTGAAAACAATGCTTAGAAATGATATGGGATATTACACTTCCCACTACTTAATTAATATTTCGCCTTTGAAACTTAAATTTTTACTGAAGAGATAAGGGTAATTGTCGCGTATCCGATTCTAACTCCTAAGTATCTTCTCTAGCGTGTGATAACTCCCATAACACTTTCATTAAAGTTATGTCCTTATTCCTCTATGACTTTACTACATAATCCAATATACGACTAGGTTGTAGTTGGAAGGTGAGATCTGTTGTGACTCCAATTATATCTAGAAGGATAGGTCAAAAAAGGATCTGGTAAGAACTTTTGGAGTTGAGAGACGTGAAACACATTGTGTAATCCGAATAAGGAAGTAGTGCCAACTGATATACCATCTCATATTGTCTCATGGTGAAAATAATGCAGTATATTACACAAAAGAATGCATATATCATAAAACATTAATAGTTATGAAATAACTTATGTAGTCATGTAACTAATGTTAACAAGAGAGAAATAAGAGAGGATTGTCATCTTAACCTCAAATTTGAACATTTCTTTCTCCTCAAATAAAATGCTTGGAAATGATAATTTTTAAGTTAATGTTGCTTATCAGAATTTTCCCATGTTTCTATTTAATTTCCACTTTCATTCTCGTGCATTGTGATGAATAACTCAAAATATTTAATTTTTGCATCTTATCTTTGAACTTTTTCGCTCTTTTTACCGTTCACTCAAATGAAAGATGTTCAGTTAATCAACATGTATATATCATTTTACCATAGACTTGAAATAAATTTAATTAATCTATCAAATCGTTATTAGACACACACTTTTTGAGGTTTTTTCATTTTTTTCTTTTGGTACCTATTTTTGTTTCTTTCGATTCTTTTTTTTAAAATTTTATTTATGCATTAAGTTCTTAGAACTGCCACCAAAACTTAGAAGGTTACTATTTCAAAACAACCACAAACTTAGAATATGATAGGCATAAATTTTTTGTTATGTTATAATTACCTAAGTCCAATGAAATTAAATAAGTACAATAGATGTTTTACAACTATAGCATTTATTTGATGTTAAAAAAGAAAAGGTTCAAGACAACAAAAGGTTAGAAACGAATAAATCTATCATTAATCACAAGGGTACTCCTAAAGGGTTATATGCTTTAAGAAAAATATGTCTCATAATTGAACAAGAAAAGTATACAATGATTATTTGCCTAAAACCTTACTTACTTAGGTATATGAAAATTGAAAAATGTTGATCTAGAGTTTCAAATTTACCTGTTATCCTCCCCCTAGCCTTTTTGAACTTCTACGAGCGTTAAACATTCACATATCAATGTTTGGTTTAAATCCACTGGTATTTATCATTAGTAGTATAAATATCTCATAATGCAAACAATTTCATTACTAGATAAATCGTCATAAATTTGTTATTGTGTCTACTACTCATCAATACCGATACAAACCCACAAGCGAAACAAATGCATAAAAATGAACAACCAAATAAAATAAAATAAAATAAATGAGATAAAATTATAATCCAAAGTGAGACACATGAATCACATCGAGTTTAGGTCATTATTTGGAGAGAAAAATATATTGGTAGGTCATCTATTTGCTCAAACTAAGCTACCATGGCCTTTTCCACTAGACAACAACTCCCTTTGAGACTCGAAAAAAGGTTTGCATATTTTTTCTTGTAACATATTGTTTATGATGGTGGAGGATTTTCCCTCATTATCCTATTCAAGTAAAATTCGTTAATTTGTGTTTTGGATTTTGTATAAATATCACCAATTTTATAAGGTACCTTTTGATCACTACATAGAGTAATCATGATACCGAAATTCCTGAGGGCCTTAGGAGATGAGTTAATGAGTTTTACAATGCCATTCAAGATCAAATCCCAAAATTTTTTAGAATCCCCATTAATAAGTGACAACAATGCGTGCACCCTTGAGGTGCCACAATCAGTATGGTTGGAAGTGCTTCCAAATTTGACAAAAAGAAGGATTACTATATTTTGAAATATGGCTTCATTTTAACATCAACTATTTTTGATGGAATTCTACCTTATATTTTACACCACTTAGCTTAATTCTCTCGACTTATTTCCTATAAAATTCTCTCCCACCCCTCTTTATCGGGACTTGAGTACACATTTATTCTCACATGAACTACATAAAATGTAGGTAGTCGCAATTGAAGTAATATGTTAATTTTCTCCCCATTGTAATCAATCACTTTACCATGAACAAAAGTGGTTAGGCCAAACACAGATTCTCGCACGTTCGTAAAGAATTAAAGTCAAAATGAATGATTGATGAGGTTTGTTAGAATGCCATTAAAACATTTCTAATTTCTTGTTTCTAAGTTTTCTCTCACTTCAGGATGCTCGTCTAGAACACACCACTAGAATACTTTCTTAACATTAACATTGCAAAACCGAATATTGTCCCAAAATGATAGAGCATTATCATTTACAAACCTCTCTTATGTTAATTTTTGCTCACTTGTGGATGAATTGATTTTCTTTGCTTGTGAGGTGGAGGATGTCATACCTCACATTTGTCCTAACTGTGTACAACTTTCACTTGTGTATCCATCCACTAACTACATTCTAAAAATCCAAAATATGTTGTCTCTGCTTCCATTCTTCTTATTGCTTAACTCAAGTTGTTGCAAGGTTTATTTGAGGCTATCAGGGCAGTGTGGGTGCAATATGGATTGAGGTTCATTTGATTTTGATCTAATCTTGATCAGATAAGTTTTATTTCAAGATCATGGCTAGAGAGTGATTGATTCAGGTAGTTGTGTCTGAAGTTTCAATTAAGGTTGTGTGCCACTTCAAGTCTGTTATAGATGGATCAAATTCTCAGATTTTACCAAAGCAAGAGTTTCATGATGAAGGAATCATCAGAATTCAGTTTATTTTCTAATTAGGGTTTCAGGCAGTGCACTGAGGTTCATATCTCAAAGTTGTGATTCTTAAGGTGCGTTCGAGAAGGTTCAATGTGAATATTTGTGGATCATCAGAGTACAAGTGGAAAATTTCAAAGAATTGATTCAATAGGATTTATTTTGATTCAAGATTCTACTTTATTCAAAAATTCAAGATAAGTCCATGTGTTGTTTCATTTGCCAAGATTGGGAAGTGATCAAAGGCAATATGAAGGGCATGCCAATAATATTTAAGGTCCAATTACAAGATTGCAAATCCCATTGTTTTAAGTCCACTTACATAAAGAAAATTCAAAGATCATTCTATGTTTTACAAAATATTCAAGTTTATTTATACAAAAGGGAAACTTGGGCTCAAGAATTTTGTTAAACATGCCCATTATCTTTTTTCACAAAATTGCAAGAAAACAAGTTGCATCCAAAAAGGCCATGAAAAATAAAACCCATTACTATTTTTTGAAAAAATCCATACAATAAGTGTCCATCACATGTTAATCCAAAAAAATATACAAAAAAACTGTGTGTTCAATTACCCACGGTCCCACACCATGAACCCACATGCCATCCATACAAACCATTACAAATTTCATGAATCACATATACACCTGCTTAAAATTCCAAACACACACAACCTTCACAAAATCCCTGTCAAAATACAAACAAAAAAATTCAAACCATCATAACACGTACGCAAGCCTCGCACCAAACTTCACAACTTGCAAACTTGTACGACCCAAAAACACAACAACCTTGAACATGCACAAGCCTTACAAGCTGGCCAAACACCAAGACGTATATCCTACACACCTTGCACTGCAACCATACATAATGACACATCCACAATATGCATCATACACTCACATCTATGAGACATCCCACATAAACCAAGCCATCAACACACATGACCAAGAGAAATAATCTGAATATCCACAAAAGGAGGTAACACATTGATACATGACATACACAATGACCACAAATTTTGCAAAACCATTCCATTACCTGTACCAGGTTTCTACCAAACCTGAAAAGAAAATACACCACACAATACTCTTAATTCTGCTATAAGTTTCTCTCTTCCCCACATTAAAGAACAAGTCCTTCGAACAAAAGGACACTGCTAAAAAATCCTCTCAACCTTCTTCGACTTAAAAGCAACCAAATCCTCACCTTCAACTTTCCTTCTAAAACCCCAAATCCTTAAACGTCTTCTTCTCCTCCAATTAAAATAGCAGCCCCAAATCAACCTCAAAAGCCAAACAACCCTAAACAAAGCATAAATTAAAGGGAAGAAGAAGAGAACGATTGAACGAAATCAGATCAAAACCCAAATACTCAAAACTTAAATCAAACCTGAATAGCGAAAAGGAAAATAAGAACGACTTCAGAAGAGGAGAGAGATATTCGAATAGGGGGAGAGACAGAAATAAGCTTAGGGTTGCTTTGTTCTTATTTTCTCGCTTGATATGTGTTGACATTCACTTGTTTTATATGACCCTAGTTTTGTTTCTCTAATTTATTTTGATAGTTTCTTTTGACCTTTTTTTTAATTTGAAAAAAGTTGATGCTTGTTTGTTCATATCAGTCTGTTTTGATCCAATGGTTTTTTCTTTTTACTTGGAATATTTGGCTGGATAATGGGCTTTCATAGAGCCCATGTTGATTCTACACTACCATGCATTGATTTCACAACATCCTCTCCCTTTCCTTTATTTTTTTGTTTTTAATTTTTATTATTTTATTTTAGTTATTTTTTTCCTCATTTTGTTATTATATTCTCTATCTTTGCTATTATATTCTTGATTTTTGGTCGATGAACATCTAAGAATCGTGGATTGTCGATTCATCGATAAAAATTCATGATTAATATTAGATCATTTTCTTTTATGACTTATCTTATTCCATTTTGATTTCCTTTTCATTTCTACCTTGATTTTCATCTTCAATTTTCTTTTTGATTTTATTTCGATTTCTTGGTCCATGAAGTCTTTCTATTCACGAATGTTGGTTAGTCAAGGTTTTTAACCTTCATGATTTTAAATATGTAGAAAATGATTATTGAGATCATTTTCTATACTTTGAGATCGTGATAGGTTACCCTCGATTAATTAACACAAGTTTGTGATTAAGACAAGACCGTCACCTTTTCTTTTCATGTGGCACAATTCTTTGGAGAATGATTCTTAATATCAATTCTCCATCGTGTTTTAGCATAAATATCAATGTGCGCGACCTCCTATAGTATGATCTTCGTCATAGATTGTGCTACGACGGTTTAGCGCTATAGTAGACCCGATTCAAAGCAATAACAACTAACCATTAACTTTAATTTTAGTTAATATATTCTTGACTTGCTTTTCTGTCAATATATCTTGATCTTACTATTATTTATATTATATTGATTATATTATTGTTGATATCTATCTTGTCATATTATCATCATATTCATATCTTATTCATCTTGTTCATATCTTGTTCACATTAATAAAAAACACATTAATAAGATTGAAACCCTAAAAGCCTAAATTAGTGGACTGTGGTTACTTTTCTGGGCAACGGAACTTGGACTTTGTATAGAAACCCTAACTTGGAGTTTTTGTCTGAACTCTCACTCGTGACTTAACTTAGGACACCTCGCACACACATGACTTCCTCTTGGGTTATCTGACAATGAGACATTTTATTTTTTTCAATCTCGTGTACGCTACATATACCCCGCTCCTATTCAGATGTACACACTTTACTCATTTGTTTTGATTGTGATTTGATGCTTTAAACAATTTCTAAAAATAAACTCTCAATCCAATATCGAGCTACTTTCCACCTTGTAAGTCGATTGCTTTCAAGCATCACCATCAACCTTTTGATCACAATACACAACATTCAAATCCTACTCCTGGATTTTCTTACAGTGAGACCTATTTGATCAATTACTTCTAGTTGGTCATTTAGAAGACTATCCCACTTTGTTAGTGCACACGATTAAAACTCAATTCTATTGCTTTTTCATTAATCGAAACCCTTAAGGTCTTGATCCATATCAAGCTCCATTACATATTCTGTAAGTTGAGCGCTTCTGCCTCGCCATCGACCTTACCATATACCAATAGGACCTCCCTTCCATTGGTTCAAACCTTAATCATTTCGTACGTAAATTCAAACCTCGATCAACATCGAGTATTTTATTAAAGTTAACCTAATAAACTTAACTATATTTAGACCACATTTCCTTAAAGATGAAAAGGGAGTTGGAATGGAGTCTTCGATTCCTCTCTTCAATTATTTAGGCCCGAGGAGACTTTCTTAAGTTCGAACAATTGTCTTCTCTAAAAAAAACTTTATAACTCGATTCTACATAAAACTATTTTTACAATAAACAAAATTAACCCTATTTTCTCAACACTAAGATGAAAAAGAGAGAGAGTCAAGTTTTTGACTCATTCTCCAGATTACTTGGGCCTGAGGAGCCTTTATTAAGCCTCGAGTAATCATCATTTGTAACTTACTCTAACTATATCAAAAATTATTTCATAATTAAGGGTGAGAGAGAGAGAGAGAGAGATAGTTGAATCTTCGATTCATTTTACCTATTACTTGGGCCCGAGGAGCCTTTCTTAAGATTCGAGTGATCGTCATTGAATCAAAATACAAACACATTAATTCAACTTCTCGCCCCGTGCGATTAAAACCTTTTCAAAACACTAATTCCTCGCCCTCACATGATCCGTAACTCAAACACTTTTTCAAAAGAACATTGTTTAGTCTATTCTTCTGCGCATATGAACTAGTGCTTCAGCCTCCCCTAGTAAGTAGACAAGCCAACATTTAGCAGTTAGGATGCGACCTAAACACTCGTTCACTTAAAACACAAAACAATCAACCGTACTCTTTTGAACTACGATTTCTCTGACTTCCTCATTGCACAATGAGGGTACGTAGACATATGATTGCGAGTTTTTTCAGAAAAATAGCAAATGTATTATTCTGCCAATATAGTAATAAAATGGAATTTCCTTGAATGTCGATCTCAAAGACTGCTTGACGATATATAGTTCTGGTTTATTTTAGTTAAAGAAAAGCTTTGGGGTTTTGAAATTGTTTGGTTTTATGAAAATAGTTGTGAATAAAAGAAGGAAATTGACTAAGTGGTTTTAAAAAATATGAGTAGCATGCTAGGGGAAATGTGTGATTCGACTCAGAAACAACTCTGAATTAACACTGCAACAACTTATTGTAACTAACTAATTACCAATTCTTTAAAAATTTTACTCCTAAGTCCTTAGTGAGAAAACCTTTAATCGTCCACCCTAATTCATATGTCCATAGAGAATTACAGATGAAATTAAGAAATCAATTATCAAGAATATTCCAATTTCTATAGGGTATCTCTAGTCCTAGGTGATATCTACTACACAATGATCCAAAGCAAAACATTAAAAACGGCAGTCCAACCTAATCGTTAATCGAAATTCAAACCCTGTTTGTCCGATAGGGCAAGCATTAAGAATAGTTAGAGTTTAAATCAGTTATAAAAAACAAAGGAATTGTTATTGCAATACTAATATCAGAGTCATTATAGATTCAAATCAGGGACACCCCCTAGTATTGAGGGGTTTATCTACTCATAATATTTAAAGAAAATACAAAGTAAAAATTAGACGTTACAAGATAATAGGATTCTTTGATCTTCAATTGCTTCCGCTCATGAAAACCTCCAGTTCCCTAATCCTCTTTATCTCTCTAATATTGACCGTGTAATTCTTCTCCAGTCCCAAAAAGTCCCTTTTTCCTTCTCGAAATACGTCTTAAATACTTCTAAGTCCAACACAACAATAGGAAAATACCCAAAATACCCTTAGGAATCACAAAAGTTACAAAAAAAGAAAATTATAAGCTGACACGACCAAGCCAACACGGGTCGTGTTAGGTGACATTGGAGGCCGTGTTGCCTCCCTGGCTCTCTGATGCAAATTATTCATGCCTCAGACTTGCTGACACAGACCATGTCAGGTGACATGGGCACCCGTGTCAGCCCACTGTCCACCATTCAAATTTCTTTCTCTTGGTACCCTCTTGACACAGGTTGTGTCAGGTGACACGGGTGGCCGTGTCAGGCCACTATTTTCCTTCCAAAAACTCTTCCGAATTCCTATTGTTTTTCCTGGTTTCTATTCTGGTTCTTATTGATTGCTTACCTGACCCTAAAAACAATGGAAATACAAAACCAACGCATAAAATGCGGTAAAAGGAAATAAAATGCAACTAAACATATAAGAAGATTAACTAAAATTAATTGTAAAATAATGTATAAAAACTACTGATCAAACTCCCCCAAACTTAAATTGTTTCTTGACCTTAAGCAACAAGCTTGCATAAGGGGTTTTCATATTAAACGATACAAATCAAATAAAAGGCTTGTGAAGGTAAGGTGTATCGATACTCATACGTGAGCCTTTGTTCCGATCGGCTAAAACTAGTTCTCTTGGTAACCGTCTGCTAACGAAGGTATTACACAAACATATACCACGGTAAAACCACAGATCTAAATCCCCCTTTTGGTCACATATCCAACTATGCTTTGGGCTTAAGTATTTTCTTCAATTTTCTACCCTTTTTCATTCGGATAATCAGATTAAGGCACTTTTGATCGCTTTCCCTCACATGTACAAAATTTGATCAAGACTTTTTCGAGGCACCTTTATTCTTTTTCTCTCATGCATTGGCGTTTATTAGTCCATATTGGGATGACTATAGAGATTCAAATGCTATTAGGCTATGTAATCGGGTGAGGGTTACCCAACTTAGAAGGACCAGTTGTCTTTACCATCATTATTCATCATTTTTTTGGTGTCATAAGTCATTCTCTCAATCAACTTTATACATGAAATTATTTTTAATTATACCGGACCATCATTATGAACTAATCAGGGAATACTTCTCAAATCCAAGTACTATGGCACAAATCTACACGTTGGTCTCGTTTCCTTACTTCGGGGAATCTAGGGTGTTCAGGTTATACCTCAATTTCCAAACTTTCCCAAATTTAAACCTAGTTTTAACTCCTCTTTCCTAAAAATCTATATACTTTCCCGACTAACTCACACATCACAGTATTCACAAGAATTTTTTTTACGGTCCTTATTCGGGGGGAGTTTAAAGCGGTTTTTTTTAAACAACAATACATGAACACAAATAAAAAGTACTTAAAATGAAAACTCAAAACAAAAAATCATCCCTCAAACTTGAACTAAACATTAGTCTCAATGTTATAGAACAAGAGAGAGAGAGATACATAACTCATAGAGATCCTTATTGAGGAGTCGAAAGGTAATGCAACACCAATTGCTGCATCATACCTTGCACCTGTAAGGTATTGTTTTTACCTGCAGACGGAACAAAACAAACAAAAAAAGAAAATGCTCAGTCAGTAAAAGCATGGGTTGCCTCCTACACATAGAGTTTCGTTTAACATCGCATG